GAAATGAAGCTCGTAGAGCAAGATATCACTGTGTAATAACATATTGTATCAATGTCGGAAAAGGCTATTTTCACTTGAAAACATGTCATTAAACATATTTTCAAGTAAAAAAGACATCGCTACTATTTTGAACCTGGTATTAAAAATAGGTAGCTAAGTATTTTTAAAAAATGCCAACCTGATATATCATCAGTATAGTTAAAAATGTATTGAAGCATATACTTCCTTTAATGAATATTTTACGCATTCTTCCATTTCTGTTACCCATATGTGCCAAATATACTACATGTCAGCGGCGCTGTTTAAATCAGTTACAACATTAGGAATAAAAAAAATTAGTCGATCCTTGTGTTGAAAAATTACACTGTATGTCAGTATGAAATCAATAATATTGATATTCAATTCTGAAGTTTAAATTAGCTAACGGTAAAGTTGAACAAATTGCGGTTCAAGCTTCCGGCTTAACGAGGTGACCCGCAGCAGATAAAACCAGCGGACGTGCGGAGGCAGTGCTGGTTGAACTTTGAGATACTTCAATTTGGTTGGTTACGATATCGAACAATAATTTACTCTATCGTACTCATTTATACGAGAAACTAACTAAATAATGAGCAGCAAACAAAAATGATTACTGAACAGCCTTTAAAATATGGGGGAAACTGAGTTTGGTTGTGTCACTTTTTTACCAGCATTAATTTAGTTAATTTACCAGTTAACTGGGACTAAAAGTAAAAGTGAATTAAATGATGGTTTGTACATTTGTCTACGTTGAAACACTAAAATACTGTCCTTGAACAGTATAATAAAATCAAATCAACAAGAAAAGGGCGGGTGGCACAACCGTCCACACACCAAAGACGGTTGTGACAGACGTAAAAATAAGTTAAAATCAATAACTATAAATAACAAAACAATAACGATTTTCATTAACAAAAATATGTAACACAACACAACATTAACATTAACACTAGGCTTATGAATATAATATAACAATATAATATAAGAAAACATATTTTTTAAACAAGAATTCTTTGTGAAATCTTTTGTTTTCTTGTATTGAATTTTCAGTTTCCTTTCTTTCTTTTTCGCCCAAAAAAAAAACAAGAAACTAGTGAGGTGTATGGCATCGTGCCTTAAGGCAAATTGCTGGAACTTCCCGTAACGTAACGAAATGATCGAGGAAAATTAAATGGTTTCATATAGATTTTTATAAATAAGATATTATAGAAATATTGTCTAATAAATTATAGTAACATTGTCTAATATTGACATTTTGAAGCTGAATTGCAAAGTTGAAATTATTTGTATATTAGAACAGAATAAAGTATATTAGAACAGAATTCAAATTAAAACCTGAATTATTTTCGGTATACAAAAAACAATCTAGAAAAAAAATTAGAAACATTTTTTTTTCCAAAAGCAATTATTTTGTTGAAACAAGCAGTTTTTTCAAAAACTGCCATTTTTAGCACATTTAGCTTTGAATCTTTGAAATGGCTGAAGCTGCCTTTGCTAAAAAATAATCATCTCTTCGCCCAATCATTACAAATTGATGTTTTTTAGATCATTCAAATCGGATACTCCGTTCTCACAAAAACTCGATTTGTCGTAACGGCTGGACCTGCCTTTACCAAAAACTAATCAGCATATCTCCCTATCAATAGGAGTCGAATGTTTTTTGAATCATTCAAAACTGTTGATCCTTGCGCCCGAAAACGTAAACGAAAAAATGCGGACATACATACGAAAAACAAACACACACATTCATTTTTACTGAGGTATGCCAAAATGGTCAGAAACCTTCAAAACGTCGAGAAATGCAAAAATTTTCATTTTCGATGTTCGGCCCATTACTATAACTACCCTACGGGAAGTTAATACATATCACAACATATGTCACGTAATACAAAACTAATTGTTGGCAATTAACTGTTAATGTTGAACTTACAGCAAAATGACAAACAAAGTGATCTATGTATATACAAGTAACAGTTATCATGAAAAGAAATCGAACAAAAAAACGTACGTTGACTCTTTAAAAGCAATACATGCTAATAATAATGTATCAATGCAATAATGTAAACTTGTTCGAACAAACATACTTTCGCCCTTTGTACCCTTAATCAAAATCAGTATAACTTAGCTGTCAGGACGACTGTTCCTACTGCGCACAGTCTCCTTACTACTTAAGTATAAAAATGTCTTTAACGAATGATGCCAAACAAAATTTAATCAATGTAGTATCTTCTACATTCATAGTCTTCACTATCATAGCAAATGAATACTCGACTTTATAATTTGTCAAAATTCAATACCTGATGAGGCAAGACAACAGCGATAAATATCGGCATTCGTTAAATTTAACACAGATGTTATCTTCATCTAAATTTCCATTAATTTTAGCTAATCCTTTGATAATGAGCATCAGTTTCAATAAATACGAGGTCTGTTCAAAAAGTACCCGGAATTTTCGTTTTTTCAAAAAAATATTTATTTATTCGTCTACATTAATGTGGTCCCCTTCAAAGTAGTCCCCCCCAGATATAATACACTTATGCCAGCGTTTTCTCCAATTTTCGAAGCACCCTTGATATTCACTTTTTGATATGTCCTTGAGCACTCTCAGCGATTCGGCCTTTATTTCTTCAATCGAGGAAAACCGCCGTCCTTTCATGGGTCTCTTCAACTTTGGGAATAGGAAAAAGTCACACGGAGCCATATCTGGTGAATATGGAGGTTGGGGCATGACTACGGTATTGTTTTTGGCCAAAAAATTACGAACAAGCAACGACGAGTGAGCAGGTGCGTTATCGTGGTGACAGCCATGAATTGTTTTTCCATAAATCGGAGCGTTTTTTTCGGATTGCTTCACGCAAACGTCGCATCACTTCAAGGTAATACTCCTTATTAACCGTACGACCTTGTGGTAAGAACTCTTGATGCACTATGCCGTTATAATCAAAGAAAACAGTAAGCAAAACCTTGACATTCGATCGAACTTGACGTGCTTTTTTCGGTCTTGGCTCACCTAGGCTCTTCCATTGGGACGATTGGGCTTTGGTTTCGACATCATAACCGTACACCCATGTTTCATCACCAGTTATGACCCTTTCAAGTAAACTTGGATCGTTGTTGACGTCATTTAACAGCTCTTGAGCGATGTTCATGCGATTGCTTTTTTGGTCAAAATTTAGCAGTTTTGGAATGAATTTTGCTGCCACTCGTTTCATGCCCAAAACATTTGAAAAAATGTTATGACATGAGCCAATTGATATGCCAACTTCATCAGCAACTTCTCTAATTGTGATTCGGCGATCATTCATAACCATTTTTTCCACTTCTTTCACATTTTCATCGTTTGTTGACGTGCTGGGTCGACCGGAGCGTTCGTCATCTTCAACGTCTTCGCGGCCATCTTGGAAACGCTTATACCACTCGTAAACACTTGTTTTTTTCATAGCAGACTCACCATAGGCTTTTTGTAACATTTCACACACTTTGTTACACTTTATTTCATTTTTTACGCAAAATTTAATACAAATTCTTTGACTTTTCAATTCTTCCATTGTAAAAATCGCCGAGCTCAGAAAAACACGTCGAACCTTAGCGACTACCACAGACAAAGTAAACAGTGAATATAGCTGAAAATTTCATCATACTTTAGGGGCATGTATACCAACACAATAAAAAAAAAATTTTGACAATCAGACACTCCAGACCCGCGAAATTTAAAAATTCCGGGTACTTTTTGAACACACCTCGTATATACCTAATCAAAAACAACGATATTAACTACATGATTTGTGGAAGCGTTATTATAATATTGATACAGTAATAATACAGTATCATCAGCCGTAATAGAATATATCAGCCATTTACCCACTTAACATATTAAAATTAATTACGTGTGCACCAACATAGGTAGGTACTCTAATCACTTTAGCGCCAAAACAAAGCTGTACTACATGTTCGATAGGAAATTATTCCAAAATTATTAGAGTTTATAGGTTATCACAACAGTGGTAATCGAATATCACTTCCAAAAAGCACTGTATGATACAAATTAGTTTGAAGTTCAGTAATTAGTACTTCACCGAACATAATGGACTGAAAGTTGTGATTGAAATATTAACATGTAATATAATATATGTTCTCGAATTTCCTTACTCCCAGGGACTCAAATGCTTCCAAATTGATAAAAAAAAAATCTATGAAGGTTTTAGCTTTAATATCAACTTTAAGATAGTCTGCACCCCAACCAAAGCTTCTATGAAAATAACATAGGTAAAATTCCATTTGTTTCATAATTTAATCATAAATAAAAAAAAATACAATTAAAATTTGATATATTTCATACAATAAGTATTTACTTAGGAAGAAGAACCAAGAAAAAGAAACTTTGGTTGAAGTAGGGACTATGTTAATAGAGTTAATAGTTAAGAGCTAAAATTTTCAGAGATTTTTTTATCAATCATAACATCCATATTAAGGACCACCCTTAATTAATTATTATGAAAATATTATCGATCTATTAATCAAGTGCTGGAAAATCCAGTGTTTATGAATTGTTAATACATAATGCATAATATAGATTTTTAGTAAACACGCTTGAATAGTCGAGAAGTATCACATTTTTAAAGATGAAATATTTTTTATAAGAAAAAAATAATTATATATATATATATATATATATATATATATATATAGATATACACACGTGTGTGTGTATTTAAGTAGGTAGGTGAAATCTCTTATGTGTGTCTTTGAAGGTTTATATTATTAGCAAAAAAATCTAAAAGATACTAATATTTCTCAATGGCTATGAATCTGAATGAATAAACATTTGATAATAATTTCATTCAATATTTAATTCCATTCTGGGCATTGCAACTACTCTGCATTCAATATTTGTTCTTTCAATGCATGATTATGAAAATTAGATAAAATGAGTTTTGACACGAGACGGTGAACTAAAAAGTAAGTAAAAGATTTAATTTTACCTGATTGCATTTATTAATTTGTTTCTTGAGTCCTGCAAAAGCCATGTTAATTTATAAGTCTGTCTGCGCCTGTAAAAAAAATAAAGTTTAGCATATACAGAAAAAGTTTGCAATTTAAAAAAACTTATTGAAACCATTAGCACGTATAAAAATTATTAAGCAATAATAGTGAAACAACACAAATTTTCTTCGGTTAATAAAAAATCGCTGTCAAAAAACAGCGAGAAAACACAATTCAAATTGAATTAAAAAAATTTAAAATTAATAAAATTTTGAATTTTAGAATAAAATAATTTACCATATGTTGTTGAACAGAGGTCTATTACAAGTTGTAACATGCATTTAAAGAATCATTAAGTGGAAATGATTATTGTCTTCAGTTAATACGAAATAAAATTGTTTTAAGTTATCCTAATGTGTTTTATTGATCCATATCCAATTTGGACAATTCTTTTCGCATGTGTCACAACACAACGTATGCGAATCGAATATGACATAAGACATTATTTATTAGTTCGACATTTCCAAAATAAATAAATCCAATTAATAACTTATAACGAAATGATAAATATTATATAAAAAATCCTATTTTCTAGTAAACGTAAAACTCGCCTGCATAAATTTCAACTGTGTTGTATTATCTATTTTTTTACTCTCATAAAAATGCACATACGACAAAACGAGAACAATTTAAACTTAATAAAATATATTTGAATTTTTATGAAAGACAGCGAAATTTCTATAAGCTGCAATAACGTGCGATGTTTCTGCAATAAATTTCCTCCATAAAAATATCATAAAATAGAATGGCGCATATATATAACCGATGCAATAAAATAGAATTTTGAACTCTCTAATAATGAAATCGAAAACGAATATTTTTGTATCTTAACATTTTAAAACTTTGTTAACATTTTGATTTTTGATACAAAACTATTTATGAATTTGTTCTATGCATTTATGAAATACAATATCAAAACAATTTAAACAGCGGTGTGAACAAATCATTATTTTCAGAAATTATGATTCCAACTGTTTGGGAAATAAGATGAAAAGTATTTTTTGAAAAATATCCATTTGGTTTCTTAAGTGCAACGAATGATTAAAAAAAATCATTACGGTGGAGGAAAACAAACATAGCCTGCTGTAGATTAAATTATATGATTTTTAATAGAAATTTGGATAATATAATTGTTAATCATATATTTTTAGCCCATCCAAATAAAATAGTTACACAACTGCTTGAAGTACCACATTCCAGGAGACTCAAGCGAAAGTCACCAATGGATAATATCCTAATCTAGCAAATTGTTTAATTGAACAATTTCTATATTTTTTATAGTAAATCATCAAAATAAGTTAGTTAATTTAATGTTTTTTGTAGTATTATTATATTATTATTTATTATTATTATCTATTATTATAATTACTATTTTCGTTATTATCTTTATTTTTTCTTATTTAGTTTATTATTTTTAGTTTATATAGATTAGCATAGCAGCTCATAGAATGTAATTACTGTTCTGAATGCTGTATAATAATAAATGAATAATATATATATATATATATATATATATATATATATATATATATATATATATATATATTCGGGTGGTCCTTAAAATGGTCATTTTCGAATTTCCTTGCTCCCAGGGGCTCAAATGGTTCTAAATAGATAAAAAACAATTCTCTGAAAGTTTTAGCTCTTAATATTAACGTTTAGATAGAGCGCAATTCAATCAAAGTTTTGTATGGAAATAGCATGAAAAATTTTTCAAAAATTTAAAAATGTTTTTCAGATGTAATTTAGCGAATAAATGAATGAATAAAACTCATTCATTTGTCGCTATGTTATACCTAAAACATTTTTTTTAAATTTTCAAAATTTTTCCCATGCTCTTTCCATACGAAGTTTGATTAAATTGCGCTCTATCTAAACGTTAATATTAAGAGCTAAAACTTTCAGAGAATTGTTTTTTATCTATTTGGAACCATTTGAGCCCCTGGGAGCAAAGAAATTCGAAAATTACCATTTTAAGGACCACCCTAATATATATATATACGAATTAGATTCAGTATTATATTTACTCAAAAATATTAAACGATTTTCATCTTTCTTAATTTCAAAAAAATAATGTGAATAAATTTTATTATTTTCCAAAACTTCATTCTCGACTTAGTTGATTTCTGAGACAATAACATCAATGAATTAGAATGATTCGTCTTTGGTTATTAGTCTAGGCATGTACAGAGCAGTTTCGCAGTAGAAAGTGCAAATTGTAATTTAAGGATCAAAAATGACTATTAGGCATTTGCATTTTAAAGAATTTAACGATATACAGTAACACCCCGGTTAACGCTGTTTCGGCTTAGCGCTCTTTTATTTTAACCCAAGTTTTGAAGGAGTAAATGTGGAACAAATAATTCAAAGAGCAGCGCAGTTTTTCTAATAATAAGCTCAAGAAATTACCTGAACATGAACATGAACTTTCGATAGCGCTTGTAAAAAGGAGTTTGTCTACTATAACTGAAATAATGGATCAAAAGTCATTGAAAATAATCCGATTTTTGATAGGGGCTCAAGAGTAAGGGCGTGGTGTTAGAGATGCTTTATCTTTTTATGAAGAACTTTTAAGAACATAACACAAAAGAATAGACAAGCAACATTAGATGCTTTTATCACAAAAAGGCAGAACATTGAAAACGCGGAAGGCTAACTACATATGACTGACAAATAATTTTTTTCACATAAATTTCACTTGTTTTTAAAGAATATTCGTTGTTATTTATATTTTGTTTTCATTTTTGCGAGAAATAATAATGTGGTATTAATTCGGACTTTAAGAAATAAATTTTTGCCTTTATTTTTATTTAAAAAAACATACTTTTTAAATTTAATACCTAACCAATTTCTAAGCCATCTTTCCCTAACCCTAATATTTCCATGTAAAGATAATCTCGTTTAGCGCTGTTTCGCATTACGCTCTACTTTTATAGAACGTATCCCCCGCATATTAAGCTGGGTGTTACTTATTATAATTTCAATAATAAATTCTTCTCTTAAAACCAATTTGTAAAGTTCAGTACCAGTATTGAAACTTTAGGTCACTCTTATTTGAAATTAAAATTTATCTATTAAAATAAAATTTTGTAATATTTACCTTTATCTACAAGCAAAAAAATATAATTCACAAATTTAACCTCTTTATATATTCAGATGGTTTAATTAACGATCACCATTATACAAATCTCACACTTAATTAGTATACTGAAAGTTACCTAACAACAAATGTTAACATTTAAATGTATGTCAATTAATGAAGAAATTATAAATATCGCAATAATTTGAATATCTAGTTTAAATCCATTGTTTTCATAAATACTGTAAATGATAATTATGAGTAATGAATAAAATATGCTGGAATTGAAGAATGTTTAATTATAAGTTCTACAGGCTATAGATCGCACTGCCGAATGAATAATAGCATGAATAATATCGCAATTAATTAATGTTTTATCATTATTTTGTAAACACAGTTAGTTATTTATATTACTATAATTGCACAGATAATTTTTAATCTGAATATATTATTATATATATTTAAAAATTCTATATATTTTATAATTGTTTGTACTTAATAATGAAAACACAGAATTATCTGTACGGCCACGGTATGTAGGTATAAAATAGCCAGATGTAAATTTAACAAATATTAACTATATTTTATTTTGTTCACTGAATTCCATGTGATGACTTAATAATAGTAATAAAGGATGGGATTCCAAATTAAATCAACCGAAATACTAAGAAAAAAGTTTAAAGATAAAGATTTCTTTTAGAATCTCTTCTTAGAAACCGCCTAATTAACTTCCAGTAGAGTAAGTTATATCAATTGCGAATAAATCAAAAATGAAATGTAATTTCTGATTCTGGTCATTTTGGCATACTTTATAAATAGAGTATTTATGAGTGATGTATGATTGTATATAGTATTTATTTAATGTTTTCAACCAACCGATTTGAAAGGTTCAAATAACATTCAATTTATACTAATGATATAAAGAAAGATTAAGTATTGGAGAAGGTACCAGTCGTTCGAGAAAGGTGAAGAAAATGCGATAATGGATACTCTGAGAAAACCGATCAACCCATAAAAACGATTTAAAATAACGTTTTCTTCGTGTTGTCTGTCAAACCGTCATAATTTTGTCTTATAATAAACTTGATTCTTGTTAAAAAATTGTTGAATTGCCGTATCAAAATTGAAAATGTTCAAAGCAAACTTTTATATTTCAAAGAAAATTCAACAAACATAAAATTGTCAGACAAACGATTTTTACGACTGGAGTAAATTGTTGAACTCTTTTTATTAGCTGTAATAAAAATCAATTTCTTTAATTCAATTCAAGGTTTCATAAGATCAATGCCTTTATTACAAATAGGAAATAAAAATAATAAAAAAATTCTCAAACTTCACAAAAAACAAGAAATTGGATGGAAATTTTTCAGAAACCATATAAATTATTTTAAGAAACTGCCCGAATGAGAAGTTTATGTTTTCATCAAAAAATCCGATTCGCTAATTTTTTGTTTTCTCGACGTTTCAAGCCACCACGTTTCAGTCATGAGACCAAATTTGGAAAAAGTATATGTGTGTGTATGTGTGTTCGTGTATGTGAACAGATTTTTTGCCGTAAATCGACGTTTTCTCAAAAACAATTCGACCGATTTCAAAAATTTAAAAGCCATTCGATGTATCTAGATGAGGACTAGCGTTTCTGAGTTTCATCGACGTTTGCTCAAAAACGCCTGAACTGATTTCAGAAATTTAAAAGCCATTCGATGTAACTCAATGAGGACAATCGTTTGTCAGTTTTGTGTGACGATCTGCCGAGCCGTTTCTTTGTAATTTGGAGAAAAGTGTTAAGCTTTTCGTCCACATTTAAGCTCATACTACCGAATCGATTTTAAAAAATCAAAAACTGTTCGAAAGATATTAGTTGGCAATGATACGGATTAGTTTTAGGTAAAAATCTATCGAGCCATTTTCTTGTAATTAACTGTTGAA